TCCTCCATTAACGCGAGTAGTGGCAAAATACCTCGATAGCATCGTTAATGTGGTCTGTAGGATCTGTAGTGGTCGTCATTGTTGCAATCCTCACCAGTTACCCACCAGCGTACAGCTTGACATCAGCGTGGCGCTGATTGGCTAATCGCTAGACCCGCCCCCACTGCCGGCGTTCATTGGTCCGTCCATCGTTTGGACGAGATAAATCGCAAATTCATTGCAGTATGCCAGACCAGAGATGCAAGCCTACTCAGTTGAGTGGGCGGGTTCTATGGTCTGGAACCAGGCTAGGTGTTCTCCTTTTTGATTCATTGTTTGTCCCACCTACACACCTGTCTAAGACTGTTTTGGTGTGCACAGGACTTTTTCGACTTTTGACAGCTGATTTTTGTTGTCATTTTTTCTTGTTGCATCCCGGTCACTTGCCATTGACTGCTTCTCAAGATGAGCAGTTTTGAAGAAGTTAACGCACTTACCAGCAGCCGTGCCTTAACATTTGAATTCTCTCATGTAGACACTGAGAAGATATTGATTCCCAATGACATACTGGGAATGAGCATTTCATCTGATGAACTTAAAGTTAAATTGGAAAGTTTAAAAGAACCTCGTCTACTCATGCACGGCTCCACCTTGAGCAAATATTGGAGGAACAAGAACATCCCGAGAGGATTACGCATTCAAAAAGCCCCCACTATTGGGAAGTCCGATGTCAACTTCATGCAGAAATGGGGTGAAATCCTAAATAAATGCTCCCTGGACTTGATGCTTCTAATAATTGAACAAGTATTCACTGATGCAAGGCAAATAAAAACTGAAATTCAAACTCAAGAGGAAGCGCTCAAACAAAAGTTTGGCCACGAGTTTCCATCTGTTGAAACGGCTATTAAAGACTCTGTTAATAAATACAGAGAGAAACTCCATGCTACCAAACTGAGAAAATATCAAAGGGACACTGAGGACTACCTGAAGAATGAAGTGTACCAGTGGGAGATTAAAAGTCTCCTCTCCTCAACCTGTAGCTGATCAACAGCCACCTGTTGTGCCAAGGCTTTCACGTGTGCCTTGCAGTATGAACTAGCACCAAGACCGTAGAGGATGTCGGTTTGGAGATGAATCATCTATTGAAAGTGACTTCTCTTTTGACAGTGACTCAAGTAATCCATCTCGCAGCTCATCTTTTTGGGGAGCATGCAAAAAGTCACACCAACACAAAAAGACATAGGAAATGCAGATGGGAAACGCACATCAAAGAAGAAACCACCAATCATGGAAATGCAGCTTCTCCACAAAACGGAAATTAACATCTCCTCAAAAGAACTGTGAAATGACCAACTGTCTGTGTTGTCTAAAGGACTATCATTTGTACCTAATATCAAAAGTGGAGTCAATACATTTGGGTTGAAAGTGGATTTGTTCAAATGCTCCAGACAAATTAAGTTAAAATACTTTTTTTCTAAGAGTTCTACTACAATTGCAGGTGCTTCCACTGGTCGTTTTAAATCTAAAGTACATTCTGTCCTAGTGTATCTAATACCTCTATCAACACATTTTGTAGACTTATAGAACAGGACGTCATGAAAATGTATGAACGGCCTCTGCGTGGCTCTCAAAATTGATCACAGAGTGAAAAGACTGCCCTTCGTGAGTTAACTAGTGATAGAGATCTTGTGTTTAAACCTGCCGATAAAGGAGGTGCCCTTGTGGTCCAGGATGCTCATAAGTACCGATTGGAAATACTTGCTCAACTAACAAATAACAATTTTTATAATAAGTTGACGAGTGACCCTACTGTGACATTTCAGAAGGAGACATGTAGTTTCCTGGAAAATGCCAAACAAAATGGCTTTATTTCCAAATCTGAATTTGATTTTCTTTATTGTCAGCACCCAATTCGACCAGTTTTTTATACATTGCCTAAAATACATAAATCTATAAATAATCCTCTGGGTCGTCCCATTGTGGCACAAATCAATTCCCTTTGTCACCATTATCTGAATATGTTTACTCTTTCATTAAGCCGCTCTTCAGCACATTGCCATCTTACATTCCAGATTCCACAGATTTTATAACAAAAATTCCAGATATTTCTAATCTTTCTGATAACACGTTGTTGTTGACTCTGGATATCACAAGTCTTTACACAAATATCTCTCGTGAAGGGGGTCTTGAAGCTCTTCGCTTCTATCTAGGAAGCCAAGATAATGCTGCCATGCCTCCTAACATATTTATAATTGACATGGCATTATATATACTGAATAGGGTTGGGTCGGTTCTCGGTAATACCAATTCGGTCCGGTACTCCGTCTTGGACCGGGTTTTATTTTTTGAGACCGACCGGACTCGGGGCAGAACGTACGTGGAGCGGACGCCGTGGAGGTCCGCCTGGTAAAAGTGGACGTCCACAAGCTCTGTGCGCGCAAAGCACGATCGCGCGGACTTTGCTCCTCGCACCAGTGTCACACAAAAGACTGTTCGGCATGTATTTTTCACATCGCAGGGATTTTTCACGGACATTTTTACACGGAGTCCGCTCCGCTTATAGTACGCCCGAGTCTGTTAGCACCTGTGTCTGCCTCTTCACCAAGCGCACAGCAAGTAGGAGAGAGAGGGGGGTGGGACGGGGACTGAGCTAGGAGATGCAAGTGTGCATGGCCTCTACTGTAGCCTGGAGTTTATTTAATAGTGACGGGGAGTCGATAATGGCGGACAATTTAGTCTCGAAGAAATCAAAGAATGCGCCACTATGACAACACTTTGGCTTTGAGCCAGACAAAGGAGGCAACCCTTGTTTGCACTGATTGAGTAAGCTGCAAAATTTATTTGTAAGGAATAAAAGAAACAACTTGTTACTGTCACTCTGTTGTCCTAAGGTCGTTTTTTATTTTAAATGAGTCAATTGCGCCCCCAGGTGGCGCAAATCCGGTATTACCGACTTGATGCGGGTTTTTTTACAAAAACCGGACTGTTTTTATTTTTCTCATACCGACCCAACCCTAATACTGAAATATAATTATTTCAGCTTTGACAATGAATTTTTTTTACAGGTCTCTGGCACCAGCATGGGTTCTATTTTTGCACCCAATTATGCTAATTTATTTATGGGTTATTTTGAAAATAAATACGTATTTGATCCTATTGTGAACATATATCAATCTAATATTCTGACGTGGTTTTGTTATATGGATGATATATTTTGTATTTTCAAAGGTAGCTGTGATGAAGCTCAGGAGTTTGTTAACTTACTGAATGGCTTTGACCAAAACTTTGAATTTACATTGGAGTCACGCCAGGATAAAGTACATTTTTTGGACATGTGGATAATTAAGAATAATGGTTGTTTGTTTACCACATTATACCAAAAAGAAACAGACAGAAACACACTTCTACTAGCTACCAGCGTACATCCTCCTTCTTTCAAGAAGTCACTTTTTATTAGTCAATTTTATAGATCGAGAAGAGTGTTATTCCACTTAAGAGCGGAGGTCGCGCGGACGTCCGCAAGCCCTGTACGCGCAAAGCTCAGATTTTACGACCGCGCGGACTACGCTCCGCGCAACAGTGTCACTCAAAAGACTGCTCGGCATGTATTTTTCACATCGCCATGACAGAAACGTGCAAGAATTGGGGGTAATGTAGTGTTTCACGGACATTTTTACAGGAAACTACAATGCAGAAGTGTGCTCAACTATGGAAGCCCGAATGACTGCGGACATTCCTCGCGGAGTCCGCTCCGCTTATAGTGCGCCCGAGTCTGTGAGCACCTTAAATTTAAACCCTCAGCGCACACTGCAGCACAATCAAACAGATGCGCAACTCAGAGCATTAGAAGTGTCTCTGACACCAGACTCAGAGCGGCTCTTTGACGGGGTTAGTGTTGTGTTTTTTGACTTTCCTTCAACAACAAAAGCACGTGTGTGTGTGTGCGTGCGTTTGCGTGTGTGCGTGTGCATGCGCGTGCGGTCCCCTAGCAGTAGTCTCTTGATAAACAGAAGCCCCTTTTACACTGCCTGTTCGCAGATTGCAGAATGGGGGGACAGAATTGTCTTGCCTGAAAGCTGCCGTGGAAGGTAGTAACAGCACCGAAAAGGAGTCTGTACAAACAGGACAGCCAGCAAGACAGGCCCATGGACAGGATCGGTGTGAAGTTTTGACAATATATTGAACCCATCATGGGAGGTTTAAAAAGTCAAAGAGGAAGAACTGTAGCCAAAAATGTCCACAAAATTGGGCAAAGACTCAGAAGCTCCTTTCCCTCAGAGCAGAGGACAAGATCAGCAGCCATATAACAGGGACAGTAAATGATTGTTATTGCCATGTTTTGCCGTTGTTATTGTTTATAAAGTGCTACCAATGCATATGTTTTATGTCACACTAGAGGCCGATGCTGTTGTGTTAGATATCACGCCCGTCACACCCCTTTGATTCCGTAATGCCGGGATGCTGTCTGAAATCACACACTGGAGTGGAATGATGCCGTCGTTGTGTAGTTCCATGTAAAAATGCAAAAGACACCTGAAAAAGGAACTTTGTGGTGGCTCTATAGTGCCGTCTCTTAGCAAAAAGGGCAAGAGAGAGAGAGAGGCTGAGCAAATCAATACGCTGCAATCTGAGATTTTCCCATTTTAAGTATTCAAATTGCAGTAAAGTTGGATTGAATTCATGGGGATTGGCTGAATTTGCTGCAACTGTTGCAATCACAACATCCTGGATAGGCTAAAGATCAAGTTGATTTCGAGTTGACAGTTAATTTAATCTGCATGTCTTTTGACTGTGAAAGGAAGCTGGAGAAAACCCACGTTAATATGGGGAGAACATACAAACTACACACTGAAGGCCAGCAGTAACCGTGCCAACCTGACTTAATATCAGTTTGATCAATTTTCTCTTCATCAGCTAACTGATGATTTTCTTCTGGTTTGTAGTCAAGTTAATAACAGTATACTTTTAGATTTCTTCCTCTATGCTCATTATTAACAATTTCTGCTTGTGTTGTCTTTCAGGAGGACATGGCTGCTCACGTCGGAGCATCCCGAACTCCTCAGGAAGTTATGGAACACTACGTCACCATGTACATTCACGGAAACCTGGGTAAGGCCTGCATCCCAGACAACATTCCCAACCGGGTGACGGACCACACTTGTCCGAGCGGGGGCCCTCTGTCGCCTAGCCTCACCACTCCGCTCCCTCCGCTGGATATCAGCCTGGCTGAGCAGCAGCAGCTGGGCTACATGCCACTACGTGACGACTATGAGATTGAATATGACCAGGATGCAGAGAAGCTCATCAGTGGGCTGTCTGTGAACTATGACGATGAGGATGTGGAAATTGAAATGAAACGTGCCCATGTGGACATGTATGTGCGCAAGCTCAGAGAACGCCAGCGACGTAAGAACATTGCCCGGGACTATAACTTGGTGCCTGCTTTCCTGGGCCGAGACAAAAAAGACAAAGAGAAGGAGAGACCTGGAGTGCTGGGCGTCATAAGCAGTGCTGGTGGTGTGGGTGGTGCAGGAGCTGGCGGCGGCACTATTGGTTTAGGTTCCACAGCAGGAGCAGGATCAGGTCCTGTTACCAGTACGCCCAAAAGAAAGATCACTAAAGAAGAGAAGGAGCAGCGGGTCAGACTGCGGGGGCTCTGTCAGTTCATGGCCCATCGGGAGTTTGAAGACTTCTTTGAGAACATGCATAAAGAGCGTGTGTTAAGGGCCAAGGTGCGTGAGCTGCAGCGCTATCGCCGCAATGGCATCACCCGCCTGGAAGAGTCTGCTGAATATGAAGCGGCGCGCCACAAACGGGAGAAACGCAAGGAGAACAAAAGTGTGGTCACCTCAAAACGAGCCAGCGGAGGAGGGGGTGGGCTTGGCTCTGGGATGGGAGGGGGGGTTGGAGCTGGTGGAGGAGGAGGCATTGCTGGAGGGTTGGGGGTCGGAGGTGGGATCAAAGAAGAAGGAAAAGATGGTGAGTTTGCTGCCATCGAGAATCTGACGGGCTTTGAGCTGCTGTCAGACAGGGAGAAGGTGCTGTGCAACTCTCTGAACCTCAGCCCAGCACGCTATCTGACTGTCAAAACCATCATCATCAAAGATCACCTGCAGAAAAGGCAAGGCATTCCGGCCAAGAGCCGGCTGCCAAGCTACCTGGACAAGGTCCTCAAAAAGCGCATTCTCACCTTCCTCACGGAAAGTGGCTGGATATCCCGAGACGCCTTGTAGTGATCTGTATTTGGTCAGGAAGTAATGAGCTGATGATCTCTGATAGCTGTTTTGCTATAAGCTTCATAGGCAGACAAAACTACTGGCTTTTTTCAATAGTGACGTTGTAAATATGTACATTGCAAAGAAAGACAATGCATCACTGGATAAAAAGTCTATTTTTATACCAGGGCTAGAAACAAAAATAAGCCTATATTTTTACATTTGGAAAGGGACAGGAGTGAAAAACAACTCTGTGGGTTCACATTACTTTGTATCAGTCTTGTTACATTATGAATGAGAACTACAATGCTAACTAGTAGTACATAGTTGCAGAGATATTTTAGTGTTCTTGATTCATTGAAAATTTAAAATCCTGACATCAACAGGCCAAAGGCTGTTGCATGCTGAAAAGAAGGGTAAATGAGAACATTATTGTTCCTGGAAATGTATGAGAGTTGTGACTTCTGGATGAATGCTTGTCACTGATGGGTGACAAAAATGATCACTGTTGTGAGATCTTTTTCATGATCTGCTAAACCCTACCGAAGTTGATCAACTTTGTTTGCTGTTTCATCAGTTAAAGCTGGGCCCAGTAACTTTCCAGCAAGAGCAAACTGTTTGATTTTTCTAACATTTTAAAGAGGTAAAATTGATTTTTGAAGTGGGGCTGTATGGGGTGCTTATCCACAGTCAGTGTATTACCTACACTAGGTAACAGTCAGCACACTCCCAGTTCGGAGAAACAGACAGGAGTATCACTATGGAAGCTAAAGCTCTGTTTCCAATGAGCAGTTAGTTATGGTTCAATCCAGTTCAGTACACATTTTTTCCACTTCCACTGTGAAAAGTTGTGGATGGTACCAATGAAACTATTCCTAACCATCCCCATTTTTGGTCCCCCATCTGTTGGGGTACCTAGAACACAGAGCTAGTACTTAAAGGTGGAGCTATAATCACTGCAGTCCGCTGATTGGTCAATAAAGGATGGTCACTCTGGTCAGGGCTGAGTTGTGGCTGGTTTTGAGGCTTATGTAACCACTGTTCATACTGTGGCAAGTCATACATATATTATTAAACTATAACTATGAAATGAAATGATGTCTTGCTGCCTCTAGCAGCAGGTGTAGTCTGAGGAAAAAATAACCTCATTCAGTGGGCCGACTGCCGGCAACTTTTAAGGTGGAAGGTTTATTTGTAATGTTATTGAATGCATGAGTTGAGGATGTGAATTATCTCTTGGATGACATACACTTTTAATAATGAGTGGGTCTTCAAGAGTTTAAAAATATATATTAATTTCGCTGGATTATATAAACTGTCTGTGCCACCAGAGAAGAGGAAATACAGCGAGCGCTGGACGGAGCAGTGAGTGACAACAACGCCGCCCACATTTAGGAGTACAGTTTGCAGTGGAAACACTAAACGGATCTAGGGTCCAGGTACCATGCCTGAAAGGTTACTTTTGGTTCAAAAGGTACCATACCGAAAGTGTTTGGTGGAAACGGGGCTTAATAGTGTATTCTCTGGATAGGGTTTAGCAGCAAATGATACTTTGGCCACTTAAAAAACGTCAGACTGGCACTTGCTGCAGAGCACTGTTGTACCCAACCATGAGGTAAAATTACACTAAACACCTACAAATAAATAAAACCACTCTCCAAACAACCAGTTAAGTGTGAAGCTCTGGCATCGTCTAATGCAGAAAGATCCTGAGATTGTCTTGTAACCAAGTCCCACTCATGGCTGCAGTAGCTCTCTGGGTCCGTTAGCATGCATTTATGGTTTACATGGTTAGCTTCTGCTCTTTCTGGGCCTCCAGTTTCCACATACGTTGCCTTTCTGTTTTTTGGCCTGTTGGATCTCCCTCCGTAAAAGTTCTTATTCTCTTTTCTCTGGCTAACAAACTGCTGAAAATCAGACCCAATCAGCTCACCTGCAGCGTAATACAGTGTAGGCTAATGTGTACAAATACTGAGGTGCTGTGGTTGAGAAAATGTCGTGGAAAAGACAGGGCTGTCTGATGGCAAGGTAAAGTAGTGAACAAATACTTAATATTACAGTCCAACTAAACTGATATTGATTTTTCAGATATGCTTTTTTTTATTATTATTATTTCAAGTGGCTAAAGGACCGTTTGCTCCTAACCCACATCCACAGCAGTACAACTTCCATGGTGGGACTCCTGTCTGCTTCAAACTGCCATCGACTATAGGTGATACACCGACTATGAATAAGTACCTCGTACAGCTCGACTTAAAAAGATCCAGACTATCACCGTAGAGGCCTCAGTTTCCTAGAAATTGTTGTGTATCTTCAGTAAACTCAGTCAGTAAACTGACTTTTTTTTCTTCCTGCCTACAAGAGAAGGGAAAAAAAGCAGCAGGGTTCAGCCATCGTCTAGCTCTTTTTGGAGTGAGCAGTTGTTACTGCCTGAAGGCACTCTGTATCAGGGTCTGACAGATAGAGGTTGACATAGAGCTAAACCGATATATCTGCTGTTGTTAGCTCATCATTGATATATCAGTATCAGCACAAATGTCAGCCAGTTAGTGAGAAGAAATGTAAGTTAAAAAATGCCAAAGAATATTAAAAGATCATTTCGAGACAGTGTTGTTGTTACACAATCTGTCCACCAGAGAGCACTGGCAAGTCGGTTTTTAAACTGTAAAATCTCGCTCAGCACATTTATTTGTCACAAATTTTAATTTAAAAAGGATCCTTATCTTACATATTAATCTGTTATGTGTTTATGGTTAAAGAAATGGCTTATGTATTATTTTTAACTCTTAGAGTCCCAGAAAACTTGGCTTCAATTGTAAGAAAGTATTTTGCTTTAAATATTCATATAAGCAGCAAAAAAACCCAAACATGTTTATCCACTTAATAACCATTTAAACACTGGTAAATAAATGAATAAATAGTGAGACATGACAACTAACTGACAAAATATGACCCTTTAAATATTCACATGTATTGGCTTTAAAAATCAGTTTCAGTCTCAGTATGGAGGACAAATCTCAACTTTTTATGCCTCTGCGCCAGCTATAGCCATAGCCAGTGGCATTATGTTTTTGGGTTGCCTGTCAGCACGTCTGTCTATACATCCGTCCGTCCCTTCCTTGTGAACATGATATCTCAAGAACCCCTCGAGGGAATTTCTTCAAATATGGCACAAATGTCCACTTGGACTCAAGGTTGAACTAATTAGATTTTGGTGGTCACGGATCAAAGGTCAAGGTCACCTTGACCCTGTTTGTCTCATTTTTGTGAGCGCGATATTTGGACAACACTGAAATTTTAAAAAAATTGGCACAAATATTTAATGTTCACTTGGACTCAACTATTAGATTTTGATTGTCAAAGGTCAAGATCACTGTGACCTTGATTCCATCTCATTCTCATGAACAGGATATGTTCAGAACACCTTCAGGGAATTTCCTCAAATTTGACACAAACATCCACTTGGACTGAAGAATTAACTGATAAGAATTTGGTGGTCAAAGGTAAAGGTCACCGTGACCTCACAAAACATGTTTTTGGCCATTCAGGAATTCTTAGCTAATTATGAGAAAACATCACACATTTTTATAATAGGTTTAAATGATGAAGTGATGACATTTTATATCCAAAAGGTCAACTTCACTGTAACATTATAATGTTCTGCATGAAATACTTTTCTGGCCATTATTCAGTGTCATATCCCAGGAACAGAAGGGGATACATTTGGTCAGATACTGAATTGGTGACACTTATCTTGGCTGTTCGCTTGTTCAGTAATTGTAGTAACTGAATTTGGCCTACAAACCTTTACTTTTACAGAAACAATGCATCTTAGTGCAGTTTCAAATGTTCTGCAGTCCACAGGTAAAAGAAGCTGAGTGTGTAAGGGACCAGGGGCCTCATGTTCAAAGGGTGCGTACGCACTTTTCCACGGCAAAGTTCAGATGTATCAAATGTAATGACTGGAAATGTGCGTGTTTCAGGCCAACTTCATGGCTGGCATACGCACGTTTCTACAGCTGTTGATCCTTTGGCGACACTTAGAGGTGATCCTGGGAAACTGTTATAATATATAACTGAAAACAATAAGTCCTGAGAGTGATGTGCACATCAGAGACACATGAACAATTAACACACCCACGTGTCTGCAAGTAGATGAGTGGATATAAAAGCATGCGCAAAATGGTGCAGAAAATACCGTTAACAACAATGGCTGCGTTAACAGTATTAAGACATTGTAAAAGGTGCAATATGAAGAGAGCGTGTGTTCAGAGACAGAGAGGATTTACTGGCACATGATGACAATTGGCTCATCAGCCGCTTTAGGTTCCCGAGGGCAATCTTCCTGGAACTGTGTGCAGAGCCGCGGCCAGCCTTGGAGCGCGACACGGCGAGGAGCCATGCGCTGCCTGTATCCATACAGGTGCTGACGGACGGAATTATCCGCATCCGTCAGCCAGGTATATCAAATTCCCATACAATGCAGCTGAACAGGCCAACATTAAATCGCAATTTGCAGCCAGAGCCGGTTTTCCTAATGTAATCGGAGCTATCGACTGCGCACACATTAAAAAAGCGCCATGATGAAGCATTTTCATTTGATGAATATACAGATCATATGTGATGCGCAAATGCAATTAACTAACATTGTGGTGAGGTGGCCTGGCACACTTTGGCAGTGGGCAGCCGTCCTCCGCTTCACGTCCACCACTTCTTTTTTAATTCTGCGTGTGTACGCTTTTCTGACCCCACAGCACTGACAGCCTCACACACACTCTCCCACTCACTCCTCTTGCGTTTAGTATTGATGCTGGAGGACAGTGTGCGAAAAAGTACATTTTTGCGCGCCTCCACTTCAGTGAGTAGTGTCTCCAATTCGCATTCTGTTAAGTTTTTCTTTCTTCCTATCTAGCTCATTCTTTAGTTTTAGTTTTCTGATAGTGCGGAGAGGGGCAGGGTCTTTAACACTTAAATGGCAGTGATCCTCCTCATTGTATGCATTTGAATTTCCACTGTGCTAACACCGAACGTCTGCCCCATGGTTGACCATGTCATATGCAGACAGCTTCCCAGGTGATCTGTTATGCTGTGCTCAAACTATGGTACTTGTACCACTGTTGCCACACGACCTCCCTCTGGTGGTACATGGAGGAATCTCCTGAATACTTTTCTAAAAATTAAATACATTTATTAAAACATATATAATATTATCAAAATACTACAACATTTGGAATGAAAATACTGACATTTTGAGATCCCTGAAATTTAATTGAAAGTTTTTCTTTAATGTTTTAGTTTTGATATCTGCTTGCTATGTATCACTGTCATGAACGTAGCTCATACATGATTAGTTTTCGAGGTCAGCTGGGACGGCCAGATAGTAAGCAGAGGCTAAATGAATGGTGTTAAAATCCCTGCAGTTGTGTCTCCAAACAGGTGCTACTTGGAAGAGAAGTTAGAATAGAGAATATTTCAAGCAGCTGTTGTACCTGAAGTGGATGACAGTCAGCTGAGCTTGAGTGCTGGTGGCTAGTAGCTAGGCATCACTTTAAAAGTAGAGCTTTGTTCATTTTTGTGGTCACTGAAAAGGTACGGCCTCCTCTACATTGTACAGCTGTGGAAGTTTTAATGTTCCGTTATAGTCATCATTCATACTTAGTCATATTTCATCGATGTGGTGCTTCAAACCATGTACAACTTAGACACAACAGCTGTATTTAAAGGATAACTCTGCTGATATTTTATATTACTCTTATTGCCAACAAATCCAATGAAAAGACATTGAGGGTTACTTGGTCTGTAAGGGTGTTTGACCAAGTGGTAACCTCCGACAGAGTCCTGCATGGGTCCCTTTTTGAAAATCCACACCCGTCCGTACCCATAAAGCTCAGTCCGAGAACCAACCTTTTACCAGTCATTATGTCTAAGTCAAAGCTGCACCCGTTAATAAAAGTCCCACGTCCTGACCCACACCCATGATTAAACACACACAGGCTACAATCACTCACATTAAAGGACAACTTAGGTATTTTTCAACCTGGGCCCTATTTCCCCTGTGTATGTGTGCGTATGATTCATAGGTACAACTCGTTCTAAAATTGGTTCAGTGTTGAGGGAGGCGGATGCAGCCGACAGCCGCGAAACGAGCTAAAACAGTAATGGGGGCAAATGCGTCCCGTATAAGTTTGCGCATTTAAAGTGCTTTTTTTTTGCCACTGACCGGTTCAGATCGCCAGCTGGGTTCTCCATTGTTGCATTACAAATCCAACAGAGGAAAAGTGTCTTTCACTGGCTGTGCTCAATGCTGGGATGGTGAAAACATTCAATCGATGCCAGGTTAGGAAGCATTTAAGCATGCTCCTTCCACCACCAGAAAACCTCAAAAGGATCCTTCTTGGGTGTCTTGAACTCGAAGTCAGCTGCCACCTCATCCTTGGGCTACAAAGTTTCATGGCTGAAGTACTCCACGTCGGTGACGAATGTGACGACAGGGTCAAAGGTTCAACTCGTGTCATTGACTTTCAAAATAAAAGAAATCGCAGCTTGATAATAGTGATTTAGATGTTAAAATATCTCACGTATACTGCACGTCTTTTTGATTTATTTTATTTTGAAAAATAAAAAATATATTTTTGTTCTCACCTACTGCCCGCCCACGTGGAGTTCATTTTTAACCTGTGTCATACCCATCAATTTATATAAATACACATATTTTCACCTGTTACACAGCTTTTTGTGGGTTACCCGACCTGGTGCAGGACTCTGACCTCTGGGGCTGAAAATTGAAGCCAAAACGAAATTAAACCAAAATGAAGAGCCAAAAACTGCAGTTCCTTGAATGGCCACTTGAGGTTGGTGCCAGAAGCCAGTAAGTCATCATAGACCCCCATAAAATGCTTAGCTCATAAACATGTTTACAGCCTGGTACAAAAAAAGTTTTGGCCTCCATACAGGATTCCCATGGTCATGGAAAACCTGGAAACATCATGGAATTTAATATCTTATTCTACAGGCCTGGAAAAGTCATGAAATGAGTAAAAATCATTTAAAGTTTGGGATAAGAGTGCATGAGCTCGAATCTAATAAATGCAAAAAGCCCCCCCAAAAATCTTAATAACAGTCATGGAAAAGTTTTGAAATTTTGTCCAAAAAATGTGTGTGTGTGTGTGTGTGTGTGTGTGTGTGAGGGGGGTTATATAACTCACTGGTTTACATGGTATTAGGGCTTAAAGTTATGCAGAGTTTCCACTGACAGTGTCCTCAGCTTCTCAGTCAGATCCACCCCTCACTCCTCCAAAGCTCCACCCTCTTACCCAAATATAGTTACATATGGCTTCAAAAGCACAAATTGGCGACAGCGAAATGTCAAACTTGAGGCTTCAAAACGGGAGTCCACAAACCAATGGGTGACATCACAGTAGCTGCGTCTATTATTTTTACAGACAATGTGTTTGACCCAAGGTTTCCCAGCAGAACATTGCGTAGTAATGAAACAATCAACTTTATTCACTTCATCTATCAGTGGTTATCATGTTGTGGCCTATCAGTGTGTGTTCCCTCATTTCCATGAACACACACACTGTGGTTTATTTGGACTCAGTCCCA